TTTTTTTGGAGACGGAGTCTTGCTGTGTCACCCAGGCTGTAGTGCAGTGGTGCAATCTCGTCTCACTGCAACCTCCGCCTCCCTAGTTCAAGCAATTCTCCTGTCTCAGTCTCCCAAGTAGCTGGGACTGCAGATGTGTGCCACCATGCCCGGCTAATTTTTGTATTTTTAGTAGAAACAGGGTTTCACCATGTTGGCCAGGCTCGTCTCATACTCCTGACTTCAGGTGATCCACCTGCCTCAGCCTCCCAAAGTGCTTACAGGCATAAGCCACTGTGCCCGGTCAAAAGTTTTTTGGTTGTTTTTTTGGTTTTTTTTTTTTTTTAACATTTCTTCTCCTTTAAAAATTTTTAAATGATAGCAGATCTGATTTCACATGTTTCTCTTCTAACATTTATTTTTCATTGATATGTAACATGGGAGCTTACCAAGGTCTGTCATATCATATTAAAGTAATGATTTCTAAGTATGAAGCATCAGAGTTGTAAACAGACTCAGCTAATAAGCTTCATTAATTCTTGCCGCTTGATCTTTCTATTTTTCAAAGATATTCCAATTTGATTTCAAAGAGCATTTCTATATCTTTGTAATGAAGATTGCCAATTTTTATGGATTTCAACTTTTTTCTTTCATAGGTCATAAGAAGAGACAAGTTCTGGGGAAAACTATTTAAAACCCACGCATCAACATCAAAACAAAACTACGACATGAAGTCTGTTTTCTGTAGTCAGTTAGAAAAGACTGTAAACTGATAGGCCAGTGCAGGAAAATACTGACTCAAATTAATTCAATTTAATTTGAATCAGTTAATTCAATTAAGTTCAGTAATGTTTACTAAGAACTATTATATAACAAGCACTGTGCTAGGCACTTAAGGCACACAAACAGGCGTAAAAGGTAGTACCAGCCTTCAGGAAGCATGTAATCTACTTGGAAATACTGAAATGTACCTACTTAACCATCGTGTGAGAATGGCCTAATGATTGAAGGTATGCAGATGTAAGAAAGAGCAGCCAAATCCGAACTGGGGGATCCGGGAAGGCTTCATTCACCAGGAAGGATAACAGTTTCTGGCCCATAAAAGATCTTGTATTATATCTTCACCTTCCTGATAAAACTGAGTTGCCCAGGCCACATTCACCTCTGGGCCCAGTTGGGGCCACACTCACCTAATTTGTCTCATTTTACTGGCTCATGCCGTTGTGTGTGAACCGCATCTCTACTTCTGCTGTAAAGCTTTACCCTGTTATTTCTGAACACTCCTTGGATAAGTTATGAAACTTGATAATACTGTCTCCATAGAATTGCTGTACTAAATGAGACAATGTGTAAAAATTTATGGAATACCTGTTACTATTTTATACTTGCATTATCTAACCCATCCAAAATAATTGACTGATGACCCATTGAGAGAAGTGAGGTAAAAGAGATAGGAAGCAAAGCCCCATTCCTCCTCCAGACAAACTTCGCTTTAGGCCTATAAGTTGAAGAATGATAAAAGTAGAGAAAAGAAAGATCAATTTCTCTTTTGGTTCTATGATCTCCCAGTTTAAAAAACAAAAGTATTTGTTCTCACTCATGAGTGGGAGTTGAACAATGAAAACACATGGACACAAGGAGGGGAACACACACACCAGAGCCTGTCAGCGTGTTGGCGGGGAAAGGGAGGGAGAGCATTAGGACAAATACCTAATAATGCATGCAGGGCTTAAAACCTAGATGATGGGTTAATGAGTACAGCAAACCACCATGACACATGTATACCTATGTAACAAACCTGCATGTTCTGCACATGTATCCCAGAACTTAAAATTTAAAAAAAAAGAAAAGAAAAAAAATAGTGTTTTCCTATGATTTTCTTGATATTCTTCTAGTCTATCACACAAATAAAAATTTATACCTCTTTACAAAGCAAAAAATAATGGAGACTTATGGAATTGTGGCAACAGCTATTGCATCTCCAAAGTCTCGTATTGGTGGAGACATGGCCTAAGCTTCCAAGATTTTGCAGTGTGTGTTTCTAGTTAGCTGTCTTCTAAAGCCTTTCATTTATCAGTAAATGGAGGCATAACTCCCAGGTAGGGAGATCCAGGTTTCTCAACACCCTTTACAATGTAAAGATAGTCATCAACAAAGTTGTTTTCTACCACTTTTATAGATCCATACCAATTCATTACAGATTGCATAATCTTAATGAAACTGGCACACAGGCATAATTTGTCATTAAGAATAAATTGTATGATGATGAACTTAGTCGATTAATCAAGGCACTGAAAAGGGCAATTGTTTGAAAAATGAAAGTACTGTTCTGGTTGTATTGATTATGTACTTTTTTGGAAACAAACACATTTTACAATGCGGTAAAACATTCCTTGTTTTTAATTAAACCTTTTTTTCTTTTTTTTTTTTTTGAGATGGAATCTTGCTCTGTCAACCAGGCTGGAGTGCGGTGGCATGATCTCGGCTCACTGCAACTTCTGCCTCCCGGATTCAAGCTGTTCTCCAGCCTCAGCCTCCCAAGTAGCTGGGACTACAGGCACGTGCCACCACGTCCGGCTAATTCTTGTATTTTTAGTAGAGACCAGGTTTCACCATGTTGGCCAGGCTGGTCTCGAACTCCTGACCTCAGGTGATCCACCTTGGCCTCCCAAAATGCTGGGATTATAGGTGTGAGCCACCACACCCAGCCAATAATTATTATTTTTGATAGTTGTTATTATTACTGCTGGTAGTGATCGATAGTATAGATATATCACGTTTTAACATTCAGCTGTTGAATGACATCTGGCTTGTTTTTAGTCTTTGCCTATTGCTAATAAAGCTGTTATGAACATTCTTGTACAGATTTTTTTTAACGTAAGTTTTTATTCTCTGAAACAAATGCCCACTAGTGCAATTGCTGGGTTGGACAGTAATTGCAAATTTGAATTTTTAAGAAACTACCAAACTCTTTTACAAAGTGACTGGACAATTTTACATTTCCACGAGCAATACGTGAGTGATCCAGTTTTTCTACCTTTTTTAACATTACATTAATCCACGTAGATGGTAAAATTAGTAAATAAATAAATTACCCACATAAGAACAGCCTGTAAAAAGCCAGTTCAAAAAGTCCAAAGGGTAAAAAGGCAAGAGCTATATAAAAAAGCCACCTCAGACGAGGGCGTCTCTCTGACTGTGTCTCGGCTCACAGGGCTTCCAGGTATGCAACAACTGCTTTATACTTCTGAAAAGTACCTGATACACCATAAAGCTTTTTTCAGCTAAATTAAAGTAAATAATTTTTTTTTTTCCAAAACAGGATCATGGCCTATAAAATGCTTCAAGTAGCCCTGTGTTCAACATTGCTTATCGGTAAGAACCTATTTCTTTTTTATCTATCATGTCTCCTACAACCATCAGATTGAGAATACCTTTTGTCTTTTTAAAGAAATGAACAAACACGTTTTTATCCATAGGCCTATTCTACAGCACTGTGGAAACCAAACTATTGTAGAATGCTGTGGTTTTGAACATGTTAATGTTAACTGTGTGTGTGTGATCATTTTATTTCTAATTATATATTAACATGATACTGTTGCTAAGAAGTCTAATTGCTGCCTCCAAAGAAGTGCTGTTGTGTCCTTGAACAAAGAAAATTTTAAAATATCTTTCAGAACTATAATACTTACATAGTACCATTATGCGAAGACCTCAAAGTACTTTGGGAACATGAATTAATTAACCTTTAGGGCAAGCTGTAGCTCAAAGTGGTGCTTTAAAGGCAGATCAAGGAAGGCACCAGAGGGCAGGCGATTTGCTGCCAAATTGACCCAGTAACTCAGTGGCTTCTATCAAAATTGAACTGAGAGGTCATTTGTTTTGCTTGTAACAAAAACTGAAAATACTTACAAAGATATAAATTATCTTCATGGTTAAATCTCTATAATTTATAAATATTTCTGATGCAGATGCTTGCATTAGAATAAACTTTTCTTCTATGAAAAGCTTGAGACTCATGCACAAAAATTACATTTTTCCTGAAGCCCTTCCCACACATAGATAGATAGATGTATTTATGTGTATATATATATAAAATAAGCCTTCAATTCCGAAGCATAGAAATAATTTTAATAATGAGTTTTAATCATCAATATTGCAATTTGCTGTTGGGTCATGTTTAAATCTGTGATTTAAACATTTTTAGCCAAGTTATTATAAGCAGTTATAACCAAGGCATATACAATCATACATAATTACAGCCCACATTGCCAGATGAAGAAAATGAGGCTGGCTCAGTTTAAGTGAGTGTCTCAGAGCACATTGTAATTTAAAGTCATGGGCTGGTTATAACTCACCAGTGTCATGTTTTGCTTCGACCACTGATCCATGCAGTTGACTTGAGAAGGGGTAATGGTGGTGGATGCCTGCAAGGCTAAAGCAATGCCGGCTGGTCCACATTCACCTATGAATGCTGCAGGGTCAAAAATATCTGACAAAGGAAATTGTTCAGCAAAATTTTTAAAGAGGCTTCAAAGACTTTCTTAAGAAACAAGTTTGAGTTTACTTCAACTCCAACTGAGATACAGATGTGTCTACCTATAAAGACAACTGGTTTGATTGACTCGACTCTAAAAAAAAAAATAATAAAGTTATCTAGTTGAAGTTTATGAAATAACAAGTTGAGAACTAGAAACTAAGGACAGAGGTGCATGTACACTGCTGGGTTAGCCCTTCAGATCTCAGGAAGGAAGCCTTCGCTGCTTACAGATTGAGGAGACTGACGTCTTCAGAAGCGGATTCATTCATTACAGTAATTGGTTTAGCTGACAGTTTCTACATCATATAGCTCTAGAGAAGAAAGTAATAGCTTGAATGAACTTTCTTTGCTTCTTTTCCTCCACATTTTCTTTTAAGAATACAGCCTATTCAGGAGAATGGCGTAAACCCGGGAGGCGGAGCTTGTAGCGAGCCGAGATCTGGTCACCCATTGCACTCCAGCCTGGGCGACAGAGCGAGACTCCGTCTCAAAAAAAAAAAAAAAAAAAAGAATACAGCCTATTCATCTGTACTTCTCTGAAGCCCTTTGCTTATAAGAAAACCATTTTTTTTTAAGTTTCTTTTCTTTTTTTTAAGTTTTCTCTATTATAGCTTAGTTGTCCAACAAATTACTTTTCTTTAGAATTTGATTTAAGGGAGGTAGGGAGAAGGTCTTATTATCCATTTTCCTGATGGGAATGCTGAAGCCAAAAACAATGAAAGGCCTTATTCAAGTAATTAAATTTATGGGCAGAGTTGCCAAGTTATTTTATTGATTAGTTTCAAAACAGTAACTTATACACATTGGAGCTGATTCTCTGGCCAGAGAATTAGAAGTTCAAGTGTTGTGACTTGATTTAAAAAATAAGCATATAAACTCTCTTTAACATTTAGGTCAAGAATTGCCTTCTTTCAGAAATGAAGGAGAGTTACAGAAAAAAAAATTTTAATTGCCTTCTTCTATAATGAAATCAGCAAATACTAATGCTACTAATTTAAATTCCTTTTATGTGTCAGGGGCTTTGCATAGGCTATCTTAGTCCATTCTCACGACCACTCTGAAAATATTAATAGATGCTATGCTCCTCATTTTACAAAAAGAGGGAACTGAGGGCTTAGGGAATTCAAGTGACCAAGCTGCACGTCAATCAATGGTAGACACTGCATTCATGTCCAAATCCTACATTTACCACTTATGAGAACAAAACTCTTCTCTCTGCTACACAAACTCTCCCCTCTGGCATTGCAGTGCCTGACATGGGCTAGCAGCAGCTCACAGAGCAAGACCTCCTCTTGAAAAAGTGGTGGAGGCAGTATCGTAGCCATTGCTTCCACAAGAAAGGACCAGGAGTTAAGAAGCTGGGTGAGCTTACCTGACAAAATTGAGCAGAACCAGGACACCACTAATGACTTTCAATGACAGTTCCTAGTTGTACTAATGGTGAAGAGTAGCAACAGGACATTTATTAAAACCAGACAACTTTATATCACATGCAGAGGAAATATGGAAAACAGACATCTTTGAAAAGTGTTTTTCTAAGTGAACCAACTCTTGAACACTATTAAGAATTATATCGGTGTTTTTTGTTGTTTCTCGTTTGTGTATTTTTTAAAGGATTCCTTTCATTGTTCTGCTAAAATGAAAAATAGATTTATCTTCCCTCAGCAATCATGAAACCCTGATTGGATTTGGCAGCTGGAGTTGACCCACACATGAAACGATTTGGGGGTCCATGCCCATGTTGTTGACCTGCAATCAGATCTGTCCATAAAGTGCAAGTATGTCTTCTGGTTTTAGACAGGCAGAACAGTAAGCTGCCTTTGGTCTATTTTTCCTCTCGTAGTTCCAGCTCTTACTTTTCACTCCACAGTTAGTAACCAATGCCAGTTTGTCTTGAAAGATTTTTTATTTGCTTTGTTTTTTGACAAGAGCTTTTAAGCTCACATATTCTAACACAAAACCCTGTCAGCATTCCCAATCCCTTTCTTTTTGCTTTCTTCTCTACCATAGGAAGACTAGCCCTTTTCAGTCATCCCTGCAGCCCTCCAATTCTTTAGAGATTCTGTATTCTCTGACACAGTTTGGGTTTATTTTAAAAGACTTTGTTCTTAATTTTAGCTACTCACTTGGGCTTATAATTGATTGATACTCTCAAGAAGATACATAATGAGAATAAACTGGAAAATAATTTGGTTGAAAAAAAATGTTTTAGGAAAATCCAGGTTCTTGTCACATGACCAGGAAGGATTAGGTTCGCAGACACTTTGAAGGGTGAGGGAGATGGAATTTATCAGGGAAAAGAGTATAACTACACAGCAAAGTGGGAGATGGGTTCCTGTTAACAGGCCCTCATATCACAGATTGAATCCCAGGTTCCTACACAGGAACAGGAAGGACCAGCCCCTCCCGCTGCAAACGGCCTGAACTTCTGTGGCTCCACCCCTTCTCCCAGTGAGCAGAGCGGTCCGAGGTTCTCCAGGGACCCCTTTATACTTGGTTGTCTCAGTGTCATTGCTTATGACTAGATTCACTGAGCAGTCTGGGTGCTGTAGAAAAACTGTTTTCCTACACATATAGCATCATCTGTCATGGCACTGGAGATGGGGATCCCATCAACACATACAGGCAATGACCCAGAAAGAGTCACTATTGAACCAAATACAATGCTGCCTTTCGTGAGTTATGAATGTCCATGTCTACAAGATTATAAGTAATAAAAGAACCACCAGCTCCAAAGACACGTCCAAGGAAATTATGTGGCCATAAGAGTGAGTGCCAACATTGTGTATGTGTGTTGAGAGCAGGTTAGAACAGATTTAAGTTAAACTCAAGTGACACCACTTCCTGTTTACTTTTCAAAATACTCAACATGTCAGCACTTGTAATGCCAGTAAAGTGGAAGTTACTGAGTTAAAAGGTCAGTTAGAAAACATCCTGTTATACCTTTGTTCTTTGTTGTTGTTAGTTTGTTTTGTTTTTGTTTTTTTTGTTTTTTGAGACGGAGTCACTCTCTGTCACCCAGGTTGGAGTGGAGTGGTGCGATCTCAGCTCACTGCAACCTCCATCTCCCAGGTTCAAACGATTCTCCTGGCTCGGCCTCCAGAGTAGCTGGGATTACAGGCGTGCGCCACCATGCCCCGCTAATTTTTGTATTTTTAGTAGAGATGGGGTTTCACCATGTTGCCCATTCTGGTCTCAAACTCCTGACCTTATGTGTTCCACCCACCTCGGCCTCCCAAGCTGCTGGGATTACAAGTGTGAGCCACCCTGCCCGGCCCCTGTTAGACTCTGAACAGGACACTAGAATATGAGAGCTGGTCCGCAGTTCAGCACCCCTCTCCGTTTTTTCCAGTGTCCTTTCATCCTCTTTGCCTTCTGTTGTGTCACTTCCTTTATCTGCCCTGTGGCTTTTCACTTTTTGTCTTTTGTAAACCCCCTTCATTTTTCTCTCTTTCCTTTGATGTTTTTTCTTGATTTCTCACTCCATCTCTTTCCTTCTATTCTCCTCTTTCTTCACGTTTTTCTCTCATAACCCAAATCGCTTCTCTTCCATTATCTGTCTCTCTCTCCCCTTTTCTCACCAATTTTTATCCAAGTTCAAGCAAAGTGAGAGAATACGTTCTACTAAACACAACTCTTCTGTCTTCCACTACACATTTTTGGGTAAGTGACCAACTGTAATGGGGAAATAAATAAAATAACTATGCCATTGTGTGTAAAAATTACTTACTTGGTGGGGAGCAGTGGCTCACACCTGTAATCCTAGCACTTTGGGAGGCCAAGGCGGGCAGATCACTTGAGGTCAGGAGTTCGAGACCAGCCTGGCCAGCATGGT